ATCAAAAAAAAATGTCATGGTCTGAGAAATTTAAAGATTTTGAAGTTTTAACTAATTGGGAAAAATACAAGAATCCTGATAAACCAAGACTTAAACTGAATGAATATCGCCTTGTAAAAATCAATTTCACTATCTATTTAGAAGTAAAAACTCAAAAGCCTGAAATTACTTTTCTACTCGATAAAGAGAATTTTCATCTCTTGAAAAATTATACATGGTGTTGTGATAAAAAAGGAAGCACATATTATATTGCAACAAATATTAAGAAAAAAATTGTTCTTCTTCATAGAATGATTAAACCAAACTTCAAATTAATCGACCATATAAATCGTTGTGGATTAGACAATCGTGAAATTAATTACGAGAAACAACTCCAAGAGAAAACTAACTAAATTGTAAACTTCGAAAAAATAATTCTTCTATTAGTTTTTGAAAAAAAGAAATAGTTGGATATTTTGTTGGATTGAAAAAAACAAATGTAAAGTTAAAGAATTTAGAATTACAAGAACTAGAAATAGTGAACAGGCAAAAAAATTAGCGATAAACTTTAAATTAGAACATGATAAGTTAACTAGTAATTTAAATGGAAAAGAAATATTTTAGTTTACATCTTAAAAAAATTCAAAAATTTTTAAAATATAAATATATAAAATCGTAATTTACCACCATTATAAACTAATTATATTTTTTTCTTTTTTTCATCATCCTTTTCAAATTCAGCTTTTCTTTTTTTTGAAGATTCAGCGATTAGATCTTTATTATCAGATAAACTATTAGCTTGTTGATTGCTTGCTTCTATTTCTTCTTGATATTTGAAAAGTTTCTTACAATTTGGGTAATCCCTCAAATATTTTTTCTTAAATTCTGGAAAATTTTGACACCAATAAACTTCGTCACCAACAATTATATATTCACCATTTGATCCGTTTGTTTTTTTGCCTTTTTCTATTAATTCTTGTATTGTATTTTCTCCACTTCTATATTTTACATCCCATTCAAAATTACGAAACTTTTCTTCATCACCTTTGTGGAATATAATTTCTGTTGTACGTTTTTCAATATCATCATCCTATTTACCAGTAAACTCAATAATATAATCTAAATGTCTTTCAAATTGGCCCCAATCACGCTGTGTTGATTCTTCATTATTATGTGTTCTGCCAAAATTATAAGCTTCTTCAGAAGGTTTTCTTGCAGTTAAAAATATATATTTTGCCAAAAAAGGCTCAAAACCCTTGTGTTTTAATTCTACTGAATATGATGTATCATTAAAAAGATTCACTGTATCATTTCAATCGATTTTTGTATAAAACTCATCTAATAAAACAATTTCTTGCCCCGAATAACCATTCTACCTTATATAATGATAAATATAGCATAATTCAAAAATAATGATATACAAATAATTGTTTAAGTCAAATAATTTGGAATGGACAGAATAACAAAAATTAATTTATATACAATACCAATTGTTTCGTTGTTTTTTTGGTTTATCAGCATATAATTGATCTCTAAATAATTCAGTTACAAGTCCTGATTTTCTGCTTCCTCCTGATCCATAAAAATAAAAAGTTACAGGATGCCAAAATCTTTTAAAATCTTTTTTTTTTTGTTGTTGGATTCTACATTCCAAATATTCTAAATCTTGTAAACTTCTTAAAAAAGAACGTGAAAATAATTCTTTAGGATTTTTTATAATATCTTCAGAAGAAATATTATCTATTAACATATTATCTATTCTTTCCATAT